GTCTAAAGGTAGAACAGCGTCTAACTGGAGGATGGAGTCTAACTGGAGGACAGAGTCTAAAGGTAGAACAGCGTCTAACTGGAGGACAGAGTCTAACTGGAGGACGGAGTCTAACTGGAGGATGGAGTCTAACTGGAGGACAGAGTCTAAAGGTAGAACAGCGTCTAACTGGAGGACAGAGTCTAACTGGAGGACAGAGTGAGACACATGAACCCAGACTAAGGCTGTATCATAACAATCAGTTTGAAGTTCTGAGCTCCAAACGGAGCTGAACGTGTCCATGAGCTGCTGCTGGTTCTGAATCAGTCAAAGTGTCTTTTAAGGCTCTTCACTGAATAAGTTCAGTGTCTGAGGAGCAGCTGCTGCTGATGTTCTGTGTCTGTGGTGCAGGTGTCGGTCGGATGAACTCACCCATTGTAAGACCTTAATGAAACCCAGAGGAACCTTCAGCACCCTGAACTGACCCTGGGCCACCAGCTGAGGACAGACAGACAGACAGACAGACTTATTTTCATGTAAACAGACTGAAGTGGTGCATGATGAACCGACCTGACGGGAACTGAAGTCACATCTGTAACAAGAAGCTTCTGACATAATAAACAGAAACAGCATCACGTCCTGCAGGCGAACAAACGGGTCGATGGCGGCTCCGACTGGAGTCTGTGTGACGATGATGTTCACGTTCCACGTCCGTGCCTCTCCTTCTGGTCATGACACCAGAGAGCATTGATAGAAGCAATAAACACAGCAGCACACTGCAAACATCCTGAAACTGAACCTGCTTCACCTCCTGTGGTTATTATGAGAACGTTTGTAGAACGTAGTGGCTGAGTGGAACGTCTGCCTCTGCTGGACTTCATCCTGACGCTGTCTCTGTGCTTCTTGCTGACTTTGGACTTTCTGTTGCAGAGATTCAGCAAACATTTGTTTTAGTTGTAAAAGTCCGGCTCCCTGCAGTTTTCCACAACATCCCAGTTGTTTGTTTGCAGTCTGATTAAAAGGAAACACAGAACTCATCCTGGACTGGACCTTTAGAGACTTCCATCCAGAACCCCTGCTGTCTTTAAAAATCTGACTTTCAAAGTTAAACTTGTGTTTTGTACTAAACTGCAGTGTCTTCTAATGTTGTCACAGCTTCATGTGGACATTCAATCTACCAGCAGGGTCTCTGGACATCCGTGTCATCAGTACATTCAGTAACTCCTCTGAATGGGATCCGAGTCTGTGACTCCGCTGGTTCTGTTACTGGAGAACGTTTTGAATGTTTAATTCATCACAAGCTTCAGCACTGACCAGAACATTGTCGAAAAACTGAAATGAAACAAGAGCTGAGCTGTTCCACAGGAGACACATCAGAATAACTCCTGAGTTGTTCTGCTGGGCTCCATCTTACAGCAGCTGATGCTGAGGAGGAGGAGGAGCAGCTGAACCCGGATGAACCCGCTTATTACCGGGTTAAACAACCGGATGTTGTCCGGTTCGACAACATCAGGCCACAGCAGGAGGAAGCTGAGCTCCTCCTCTCCATCCTCATCATGCGCCTCCTCCGGCTGCCATTTTACACACACACACACACACACACACACACACACACACACACACACACACACACTACATGAAGGCTTTCAGCTTCTTCATTATTCACGTTTGTTGACGTGTTGTTGTTGTTTGAGCCTGCAGGCAGCGCGCGGGGCTCAGACTGCCCACGAACCCTCCCGCAGTCCGCCTGAGAACTCTCCCATCCTCCCCATCCTGCCCCATCCTCCCCATCCTCCCCATCCTGCCCCAACACACACATGAAACATGAATCTGTTGTGAACCGGCAGCAGCGGCGGTGTCGGGCTCGGCTCGGTCCGATTCTCCGGTTCCTCCTAACGCCGAGCATCCTCCCGGAGCCGCCCGCTGCTGCCGGGATGCGGCCCGTAACTGATGCTTCACCGGGACACAAATCCCAACGAACCCTCTGCGGACCGCGAAACTAAGACAGGACGAACCCGGGCGGAAAACCGGGCCGAACCCGGAATGAACCTGCGGAATAAAAGCTGATGTTGATGGTGTTTGTACCTGATTTACGACGTCCATCCTGCCGCCTGTCGAGAGGAGAAGATGGAGGGAGGAGGGGGAGGAGGGGGAGGAGGCTCCCACACGTCATTTATTTATTATTTACTGATGACGCTGCAGGCTGACGCTCAGATAAACAAACAAATAACGACAACATAAACAAAAATAATTCAACAGACTGAAATTAAAACGTGTTTATTTATTTTACATTGTTATTGTTTTCTGGTTGGGGGGGGGGGGGTGCAGCAGGTGGTGACGTCTGATGATGACGGTGATGATCAAGATCAAGACATTTATTGTCATATGACTTTACTGAGAGGTGGGCAGCAGCTGTGAAGGTCCTCCTGGATCCAGAGTTTGGTGAACAGGTGTGCAGCCCGACAGCCTGCAGGTAGAACCTGTTCACCAGCCGGCTGTTCTGGGTCTCACCTGCCTACAGGTGTGACGGATGGATCTGATGAAAAAGCTGCAGCCTTTATGAATAAGCTCCAGACTCAGTGGAAATGTATCTTTAAATCGTCTTGCATGTAAGGAGCAGTGTTCAAAGTCAGCAAAGAAGTTACTGGATGGTTCGGGTTCGGGTCATGATGGTGACTGACTGCTCAGGCCTGAAGGGGGCGCTGTCTGCCGCATGCTTCAGTCCCAGTGAGCATCCTGAGCATCCTTTCCCCTCCTCCTCCCCAGCCACAAAATGTTTAAATGTGTTTGATTGAAAAAAGTGAGAGGTTGTTGGAGGTCATTCTGCCTGTGAAGCTGCTGAAATGTGCAAATGAGTTATGTAGCCGTGACTAGCATGACCAGCATGACTAGCATGACCAGCATGACTAGCATGACTAGCATGACCAGCATGACCAGCATGACTAGCATGACTAGCATGACCAGCATGTGTCCACAGCAGCGGGGGTCATCGACAGGACCAACGTGCTGAGACACTGTGTTACATTCAGGCTGATCACTAGAAGCTGTTGTTTACAGTCATTAGTTGCTGATGAACTCTATTGTGGTTTGATAACTATCTAGTTGCTGACAAGAAAATGTATATTTGTTGTTCAATTGTTGTTTATTATTGGTAAACAAATCAGGACTGACACTGTCAGAGGAAGCCGGGCGAGTCCTGAGCATTCCTCCCCAAGCCCCCCCCCCAGGCCACGACCATGGCAGCAGGATGAAGAGTGTGTGTCGGGTTGTGATCCGGAAGATGTGGCCTCCCGAGGACCCTGGCCCTGTAGGTGTCCTGGAGTGCGGGGAGGCCAGGGCTAGGGTTCGGCTGGACCAGCCGGGATGCCCAATTCACTCACTGGAGAGCCTGACTATCCTGAGCCGTGCAGTTGCTGAAACACACAGTGATAGCGTTGCTCGGGACACCTGATGTTTATGATGTGACCAGGTGAGATCCTCGCTGATGAAACCCGGAGGCCTTTACCCGCCCATGTGTAGAGGTGTGTGCAGCTCCGCCCCCTTCTGTGGATCAGCAGTCACCTCCTTGGTCTCTGCATTCAGGGTTAGACTGTTGTCCTGACACCAGGCCACCAGACCTGCCACCTCCCTCCTCCAAGCCATCCCATAGCTCATCAGAACCTCATCAGTGAAGAAGGTCATGACGTCTTCACTGCTGAGAGCTGAAGGAAACAAGGCTCCACAGAGCTGTGGCTCTTTGTCAGCCTGGCCTCAGTGCTGAACAGAACCCTGGGCTGGTTCTGGTTTTCCTCAATAAGGATGAATAGTAGGCAGCTCTTGTCCTGCAGATCACTTTTTATAGGAGAGGAAACAGTCTTTCCAGGCTGGATGAGGTTCTTCTGACTTGGTAGAGCTCCACTGTCTNGAGGACGGAGTCTAAAGGTAGGACGGAGTCTAACTGGAGGACAGAGTCTAAAGGTAGGACGGAGTCTAACTGGAGGATGGAGTCTAACTGTAGGACAGAGTCTAACTGGAGGATGGAGTCTAACTGGAGGACAGAGTCTAACTGGAGGACGGAGTCTAAAGGTAGGACGGAGTCTAACTG